AGTTCCGTGAGCAAGCCATATATTACAACATAGAATTCTTGCATAATTCCATTTTCGGCTCCAAAACTATTGATGGGGCACTTAGATGCACAATGTTAAAAGGCAAAATTTCTTAAAGAGCACATAAGATGGATCATGGAGAAGATAAATGACACATTAATTTGATTTTATTATAGGTTTTCATAGCCGCCCAATTTGATTTTATTTCATTATGGCCATCCAATTTCATATAACTTTTCACCATAGCCACCCATTTTCATATGATATTTCACTATGGTCACTCAACTTCTTTTCACCAATTTTAAAAGGGGTAAAATTGTAATTTTGCATTATATATAAAACAAATTTTAAAAATTAAAATAAAAACTTATTTAAAAAATAAAATAAAATAAAAACTTATTAAAAAAAGTTACTTAGAAAAATAAAATAAAATTAAAAAGATATTTAAAAAAAATTACTTAGAAAATAAAATAAAATAAAAATTCATTTAAAAAAAGACATTCTTAAAAAATAAAATAAAATAAAAACTTATTTAAAAAAACTTTTTTTAAAGTAAAATAAAAACTTATTGTAAAATATATGTTATTAAAATTTTAAACAAAAACTTTTATTTTTGTTTATTTTTTAATTTATTTTATATATAATACAAAATTACCTTTTTACCCCTTTTAAAATTAGTGAAAATAGTGAAAAGAAATTGAGTGTTCATAGTGAAATGTTATATGAGATTGCCTGATGAAACGTAATATAAAATTTGATGGTTATGGTGAAATAAAATCAAATTTGGTGGATATGTTGATACTAAATATAAAGTTGAGTGACCATTGGAGAATTTAGCCCGATTTTAAAACATGACAATTTTCAATTTCATCTAACCCTCACCTAGCAATTACGTATAAAGTTAGTTTCTAGCATCTCATCTCACTACTTTTATAATGCTTGTTGATTTAAATTCAGCGAAGATCGAAAAAAATTCAAACATAATTAAGTCCTTGTTTGACAC